TCATTCTCAGAGTTTTGTTTTGTACTCTCTGGATTATTTGAATGTTACTCTTTGCTGGCGCAGCCCCATAGCTCTATCCCATAAGTCCATATTGGGATTATTATTGCTTTGTATAAGAGGAGTTTATTTTCTAGAGGCAGTTTAGATGATCTTCTCATTAGCCAGTTTATTTCCTTCAGTTTCAAATCTATTGTTTTTTTTTTCTTTAAAAAATATGCGTTTCCAATTTAGTTTACTGTCTAAATGTATTCCCAGGTATTTTACGGAATCCTGGTTTGGTATAATTGTCTTGTTCAAATACAAGTCAGGACTTGTGTGACTTCTCAGTGAAATGATGAGGGTTGAGATTCTTAGCGTTAGTTTTTATGTTCCAGTATCTAGCCATAGCATAGTTCTATTTTCGCCAGGTAATTTGAAGTAAAAAAGTAGCTGTTGTTACATCTTCATGACTTGAGGTTTATAGCAATGTCATCAGCATAGGTGCTTATCGTTATGTCGGATCGAGTGGCATATCACTGGTGTATAGCAAATATAGTATTGGACTGAGAGCACTGCCTTGCGGAAACACCGGAATGAATTGGTTTGGAGGGAGCGAGAGTTCTTCATTTTCTTTAATTTGAAAGGTTCTATTTGATAAGTAAGATCCCAAAATTGTGAAATATTTTGGAAATGTTTTCTTTAATTTATATAATAATCCCATGTGCCAAACTTTGTCGAAGGCCTGGCTGATGTCTAGAAAAACTGCTACACAAAATTCTTTTTTATTCAGGGCTGTGAGGATTGAGTTGGTTATTCTGTTGCATTGCTGTATTGTTGAGTGATGTCTTCTAAAACCAAATTGATGGTTAGGTATCCAGGATTCTTCGGGATGATCTTCTAGTAGTCTTTGTAAAATTAATCTTTCGAATACTTTTGATAGGGATGGAAGCAGGCTTATAGGTCTATAAGATTTTACGTCAGATGAATCTTTGTTTGGTTTTGGGATCATTATGATTTTTGCATTCTTCCAAACAGATGGCCAGTAGTTAAATTGAAGAATGGAGTTGAAAATGGATGTGATAAATAATAGACATTTTGGTGGAAGTTCTTTTAACATTTTAGGAGAAACTTGATCGTTTCCGGGGGCTGATTTTGATTTGATAACTTTGATTTTATTTTTGATTTCACTTGGTTTAAAAGGTCTTATCATAGACGTTTGGCAATTTCCTTGAAGCGCATTCAATATTTCAATTTCAGGTGACAAGTTTTGTTTTTTGAAAACATCAATCAAGTATTCTGCGAATGTTTTACACTTTTCAGCGTCACTTTTAGCCCAAGTTATGTGGTTCTGAGAGCAAACTTTGAGAGGCGATTTCGACATTACAGGTTTATGTTTGTTCTTATAGGTTTCCAAATAGAGGCATCATATCTATTTAGCTGCGAAACATATGAATTAAAGGAATCATTCTTCCAAATGGCGATGATTTTCTTTAATTTATTGCTAATTTGGTTAAAAACTACTTTTGTCCTCCGGCCAATGAGTTTGTTGCCACCTCCGCCTGGCCTTCCTCTTTGCAGCTATTAATCTTTTTATGTCGGATGGTATTACTTGATTATCTTTTCGTGGTGGGATACTTGGTGTTGATTCAACGCATGCGTCAATGATAGTTTTATTCAAAAACAAAACTTGATTATCAATTTCATCAGCGAGTTTCGGGCGTTGAATTAGCTTAATTTTTGAATTTATAATGTTTCTGAAATTGTTCCAGTCAGTAAATTATTGAATAAACTGCAAGGCCGATAAACAGGAATCGGACTTGAAAAATAGGTTAAAAGAATTGGGGAATGGTCGGAAGATAAATCAAAGTTAGGTTCAATAATGAGTTGCGATGTTGGAATACCTTTATTATGAAGAAGAAATCAAGCAAATCTGGAATTCTATTAACATCGGTTGGCCAATATGTTGGTTGACTAGTAGTTATATGTGAAGAAGCATTTATTTGATTTATTGATGTTAGTAGTTCTTTTCCTTTGGCAGTGGTTAGTCTTGATCCCCATGATGTGTGTTTGCAGTTAAAATCACCTCCGACAATGAATTTATTGCCTAAACTGCTGAAAAATGAAGTATAATCAGCGGCTAAAATTTTATGTCTTGGCGGACAGTAAATAGATGCTAGTGTTATATCATAAATTTTCGTTTGCATAGAGATTAAAGAAGCTTGTATAGTCTCTGATTGAACAGGGGGCAAGGTGTGGTGTTAATATTGTTTTTTATAAGAATTGCTGCTCCTCCATGACATTTCCCATCGGGTGATTTGCAGAATAGGTTATGTAGTTGTGAATGTTGAAATATGATTTATCGTTGAAGTGAGTTTCGGAAATTAGTAGAATATCGACTAGATTGAGTTTTAGAAATATTTCCAATTCGTATTTACGTTGAATGACGCCGTTTGCGTTCCATTGACATATTTTAATTGCTTCTACCATTATTTAATTTGTTTACTAAAATGGTTAGCATATTGAGAATAGTTGAATTTGTTTGGTACATAATTTTGAACTCGGTTAAGAATTCATTTATTGGAGTGGGAAGAATCTGGTGATGAGTTTTGAAAGGAACGATTATTTTTAGTGGCATCGGCGTAAGATACGTTGTTAAGATTTGAACGATTTCCATTTGTAGGAAATGTTTGTTTTATATTTGATTCAGTAGTATGTTGAGTGTAAGTCGGATTTGAGTAAACTGCATTTCGGTTTGTTAATCGAACCTCTTGTTTATACTTCTGAGCGTATAAATTTTGATATACGGGACAACCTTTGTAACTCGAAACATGGTCTTGATCACATAAGGTGCATTTGGCTGGAAGATGAGGCTCTTTTTTACATTTTGCAGTCTCATGAAAATCTGAGCATTTTCAAACAGCGGTGGATATACAACTTTTGGCAACGTGCTGCATTGTACTATTCGTTTGTGAATTCTATTGAGTGGTGTTCAATTTTATAATTGAGTTTTTAAATTTAGTTATGTTAAATACATACTTGTTATTATCAGCTGGTTCTAAGTCAATGTAGAACAAGTTAAGTGGTTCGTTATCATATTTACTTCTAATATTAGTTTGTTTCTTACTACGTGTCCCGATTTGAGCAGTTCTGATTTTATTTCTTCAATGGGTGTTGAATGGTGGATATATCTACTTACTGCTCGAAATGCTCTTTCTTCTTTAAGTTGAAAAGTGTGAAACTCGGCTTTCTTGGTTATTAATAACTTCACTAGATGTCTATGGAGTCAGAATTTGAGCACTGGATTTTAATTGAATTATCAAGCATGCATTTATAGTAATATGTTTTTCGTTTAACACTTTTTTTATGTCGTTGAACATGTCGTAATATCAGAAACGTTTGAAACAAAGATCGGCGGAGGTTTGACAATTTTTTCGGTGTCATTCGACGTGTTTCTAATATACTGAATCTATTCCTTAGTTTATGGGCGTTCTAGGATCTTGTGTTTTCTTTTTTGGATTTTGAAGCTAGTGCCAAGGAATATTGTCTTCTTCCATTTTATTTCGGTCTCCTCTAATTCAAATTAGTTGACATTGTGTTAGGTTGTATTTGTTTTTAATTGGCCTTCATCGAATTCGCAGTTGAACTTGCATTATTATTCTCTTGAAGTGTTTTCATAAATGAAAACTATAATATCACTTAACGTACCCCCATATGGGGATACAATTAAAAAAGTATTTAAATTGTGATCACTTTTGTGGATTAATTTCACTTTCACAGTAAATGAACTATGATTATAGATTGAATCTGTATGTAAAATATAAACAATCTATTCAAAAACGAATCATAAAAATTAGGTGAAAAGTGATAGATACTATAAGATAGAAAAAAACTATAAGTAACTGTAATAAAAATAGCATTTTAGTACTTCATTTGTTCAAAAAAAAAAAAAAACAAATTAAAGAACCAAAATGAAAAATTAATCTGTAAATTCAAAAATATCATATTAATCTTAAGATATTTTTAAAGATAACACATATGCATATTTGCATATGTTGATAAATATTTTTGCATATTCTAAAGTAATTGAAGACCTTGAAACTAATCGAAAGATGATAAACAACATTATATTGAAAACGATTACTTTTTCAATTTGTTTGTCAACCATTTAACCTTATCTTTATTATAACGAAAATACATTTTAATTTATAATGAAAACATTTTTCTACAATAGTCAAAGTCCTTTAAATTTTTAAAAATTGTACGTTGTTTTCGCCAAAAAACCCGATTTGCTAATTTTATGTCTCTGAATCAAATGAGACCAAATTTGGAAAAAGTATATATGTGTGTGTGTAAGCAGATTTTTGACCTTTCGTCAACGTTTTCTCAAAAACGGCTGGACCGATTACAAAAATTTAAAAGCCATTCTATATAACTCGATAAGGAGTAGCTTTGGTCAGTTTTGAACAACGATCAGCCGAGCCGTTTCTTTCTAATTAGCAAAAAAGTGTAAAATTGTTCGACCAGGTTTTGGCCAAAAATCCTGAATCGATTGTAAAAATTCAAAAACTGTTCGAAAGATTATAGTAATTAAAATTTTTTGGACAATTTTGATGAAACTTTGTAAACGATCAATTTCGCCTACGATAATAATAATATTGTTACATTCTCTATTATGTAATTTTGTGTTAAGTGCATTATTAATTTTACTATATCTTGCAATTTATCCATATTGTATAATAATTGTATATATATATATATATATTAATTGTTATCCATAATGTAAAATAATTGTATTTTTATGTCCTCTTGGAAAAAATCTGTGGGCTATGGCTATATATTTAATAAATTTAAAATAAATAAAAATAAGCGGTTGAATTATAAAAAATCATCAGAGATTAGAAATTAAGGCAAATTCTACTAACAACTAGTTTTATTATTTTATTCATAATAACATGTCTGCAAATTATGTTAAGCAATGTAAACATTAGATAACAAAACATATAGAATTTTTATTTAAACAATGGTGTCGCCGCTTTCGCATTCATTTAAACATCACTACAATAATAATTATATTTAGAATTGATAAGACGTAGGCGAATGAAAGAAATTGTTATTTACTAACACATTTAAGATAACACCGATAATCCTAATTAGACAAAAACAATGTATTTTTAGCTCCATTTCCAACTGTAATTAGATTATTATTTCTATTTTAGTTGCTAATTAGTTAATAAATATTCAGTGGCAATTGATACATTGTAACGATAATGATTGAATCAGAACTTATTTTACAGTAAATGAAAGCTAGGTCTGGCTGTTTTACCAAAAACGTAATTAGATTGTTATTTCTATTTTAGATGCTAATTAGTTAATAAATATTCAATGGCAATTAATACATTGTAATGATAATGATTGAATCAAAATTATTTTTTTATATTTTGCTTGGAAGAAAATGAAAGCTAGGTCTGGCTGATCTTTATCAAAAACAATAATTAGCAGTATTTTCAACTAATATCCTTCGAACAGTTTTATATCAGTTCAGGATTTTGACAAAACAAAAGCTAATAAAAATTGTTACTTTTGCTAAGTCTGAAGAAAATGCTCGACCGATGAGAAATTTGTCTTAGGAAGCATCAAAAAAGTTAAATTTTGGCTCTTACACCTACCTATTGTAATAATATTCAGGACAATTAATACATTGAATCTGAATTATTTACATTTTGCTTGAAAGTAAATGAAAGCTAGGTCTGGCTGATCCTTACGGAAAAGTAATTAGCAGGTTTTCAACTAATAACCTGCAAAAGTTTTGTATATTTAAAAATTTAGTTTAGGATAAACACTGGTAATAAAATTTGTACTTTCTGCTAAATCTAAAGAACATGCTCGACCGATGAGAAATTTGTCTTAGCAAACGTCAAAAAAAGTTAAATTTTGGCTTATACACCTACATACTTCTAATATCAGTGTCAAACAATTAAAAATAACTTGAGATATCAAGCAAATCATGATAGTACTCTGATAAGTAGTCAGTTATCCCCTCATATTGTTTTTTTTAGTTTATTCGAATGAAATTATAAATTTTATACATCTTAGACAGACAAGAGTGTCTGGTGTGAGAGTTCGTACAAAATATCTATATAATAGTATATATTTATTTTCTACATGTCATTATTATATGTATGTATATAATATAGTCATAATTTTCACATTTTACATAAAATTTCAATAGTTCAGATTTAATAATAGTGCAGTTTCAATTCAGATTAAATAAAATTTCAATAGTTCAAAGATCAGTCAGTAGAATTTTCCAATTTTGTCCAAGTAGAATTTTAAATAAATACAACTCAATGACTCATATAAAGTTAGGAAAATATTATTACAATCGTCCCCTTTGTTTGTAATATATTATCAAAGTTATCGTATATCCGCTTAAACAAAATATAAATAACAGAGTATGTACATGTAAATATTGCATTACTCTTGAAACTGCAACAATTGAACTTACAAGTGCAAACAAGCGATAGTAAAGTTTAAAACTTCAAATAAATATCACGTTTATCAATATTATATAGATACCTAAATCCCTTTTGCATTTAATCCCTAATAACAACAAATTTGTTATCTTAATGCAATGAACATATTTAAATAAGACATGCCATATAAATACATATACCAATAAACTACTAATAAAATAAACACACAGACCTTGATAAATGCTTTAATAACTGGTTTTTAATAATAGAAACCATTTTCTATTATTAATATTATTATTTATAATAATTTCACATTACACTACGTTGACATTTTGTGACAGTTCTACATTGCACTGACGTTGGTGGCTCTGACAAGTATAGATTTTTCATTTTTAGTAAAGCGACAACTTCATTACATTCAAACGTCAAATGGAGTAAATGAATCATCTGTCAACTGTCAACTGTCAAATTCATTTATATTTGCATGTGTTCAAATCCGTTGTAATTTTATCTATAATTTCTCTTGTTATCAATAAAATACTAGATAAGAATTTTGATTGAATCGGTAGTGGATTAACAATTCATTACGCTTGTTACTTGGATGTTTCATACGTGTTAATTGATTTTATACATTTTATTAAACCGGCTGCGTTGACGAAGACAAAAAAAGAAAACAATGGTAATTACACATCACATTAGTGGTTATGAAAACTTCTGCAAGTTTGTGAATGAATTTGAATTCAAAGGAAAAATAGTACATATATTGTTTTCGGGATCTAAACTTCCTGATGGAACTAACTGGTGTCCTGATTGCGTTGTAGGTAATAAAAATCATATGAAGAATCTATAACATTTTAATATATTTATTAACATTTTAATATATTGATTGATTGACTGATCATAATATTTTATTCTCTAAATGCTTCTTTAGAGCTTTACTTATTACATACGATATTCTGTGCAGCCACTATATTTAATACATCCATTTTGATTTCAAGATTAGTATATAATCAATAACTAATTAACAGATTGTTTACAAGTACAATTATATTTTCTTACCATTAATCATTTTTCAGCTCAACCAGCTATTGAAGCAGCATTAAAAGTGGCTCCTGATGACACTTATTTCATCCATGTGGAGGTCGGAGATAGATTATAGTAAGCCACAGTTTATATTCTAATAATAATAATAATAACAAAGAGTTGTCCATTGTATAAGAGCACTAGAAATCAATAATTCACTTTTCCTTCCTTGCTTATTATTCCCATTATCACTAATCGCTTTTTTGTTCATTTTTATGCACTTTGCTTTTCATACTTTCTCACCCTGTGCTATGGCTTTCACTTCCATGTATTTTTTCTTCTAGCATAAGTCATCAATCATTTGCATTCTTCTTCTTTCAAATCCTTTTACTCCTTTTATTTTATTTTTGACGACATCATGCAGAAGGCATTCTTTTTGCAAAATATGTGCGATCCAATTAGTTTTTCTTTTAATAACTGTACTCAGTAATGGTCTTTCTTCACCCATTCTTCTCAGCACTACTTCATTTGTGCATTCATCTCTAGACAGTTTTTGTTAACCTTTTTTAGAGTCCAAGTCCATGAATCTAATCTTATATTTTAATTACAATATCTGTAACAACTGCTAAATAATATAACATCTAGTAACATAAGTGAATAATAACATAAATAAATATAAATAAAATAGAGTACAAAATAAAGGATAGTATCTTCATTAAAATGATATCTGTATTATGTTCATGAATTTAATCTAATATGATTAAATTATTATTTTTCAGTTGGAAAGATCCAAACTGTCCCTTCAGAAAAGACCCTCGAACAAGACTGATGGTTATCCCCACAATGATTCGGTGGGGTTGCCCCCAAAGATTGGAGGGCGAAAAAATTGTTCAAACAGGAACTTGTTGAAATGCTGCTGACTGATGATGAAAGTTAAATTGTAATAGTTTTATATGTATATTTTTGTAATAAATAATAAATGGCACTTATAAATGAAAAGAAATGACAACCAATTTGGCTGTAATACAATAAAATGGTTTAAGAAAATTATAAATGGTTTAGTAATAAAATTATTTTAATCCTGCAGCAATGAGAGTTTTATCAAAGTAATGAAGCTGTTGCTATATAAGGCAGCAGCAAGCTGACAAAAAATATTTGTTACAAAAAATATTTTTACATTTTTTAATCACCATTTATGAAAATGAATTTAAAAATCAGAAACTACACTTCTATATAACTAAAAACCATAATAACAGAATAAGATTTCTCAATAATTGTGATAAATATTTTGTCTATAAGCGACACTCATAGCAAAAGAGTTAAATCGATTATTTACAACACACAGAAAAGTTTTTGAAACTTGCCTTCAAGCAAGATACCACTCACTCCTATTTGCAATTATTATTACCAATTTCTGATTTCTTTGGCACATGCCTAACTGTAACCACAAGTTTTCACAAAGTATAACTACGAAAGCTTATTTTACAATCAAATAAAAACCACATATGAGATGGAATCAGTTTTATTTAATTGGAACTCATAACATGCCAAACGTACATGATTTGAATAAAATATTAAACAATAAGTTGCAAGAATTAACAACAAAATATACTTAATATATATGAGGCGAATATGTGTAATGCAATCATTACATGCTTCCATTGATTTATAATTCATCTTTTATGTGTAACAATAAAAGTTTTCCAAGACATCAAAAGATTCAATTACAAATCAACAAAAGCATGTAACTTACAATTTTCAAACGGCACTGCACGGCATGTGAAAAAAAATTGAGGTATATTTATAATTTGAAGGAGGTATATTGATAATTTGAAGTCAACAATAAAATTATTTATTTTGATGAAGTAGATACGTTGAATTGAAATTTAATATGATAATGAACATTTCACCATTTAAGATCACCTTAGCAATGTTAGTTTAATATTGATTTTAAATAAACGCTCTTCAGTTTATTCAAAAATTAAATCAACATATATTTAATTCACAATTAAAAACTGCACGTACTTTTGTTGTTAACTGATTCAAATTGGATAATGTACAGAACAGAAATTACAGAAAATTTTTGAATTGGAACCATAAAAATAATAAATAAGAATTTTTTTTAATATATATTTTTCGATCTTCTATCCAATTTGAATCAGTTACGTTACATTATTAACAAAAGTCAGAGGTTATTAATGAATTTTTTTATCTTTTTTTCTTCGCATCTTCTGCGGATAGCTTTCGAATGCATTTTACATTTGATAATTTTGTATTTTTTTTGTCGGTTGTGTAATGAGGGTAAGATTTATTTGTATTTTTTTTTAGATTTTTATGAATGTTTTCTATGCATTCAAAAGCCAATTTAACATGTATGATTGCTTTATAGACAAGGACAACAATTTCAAACTATTCCAGACATGAAATATTCTCATTCGAACAAATTGTCATTCGTACAACCTCTTTCATGCAACATTGATTTTTTGTATTTTTTTCTTGAATTTATTAATTTATACTATTTCTTGCTTGTTATATTGAATTTCAATCATACTTTCTGAAGGTAATTTTTATATTACACAGTAAGGTTTCTCACAAAATATTGTGATAAAAAATTCAATATTTTTGAAAGAAACCAAAATCAAAAATGTACATGAAAAACCCTAAACTGCACTAAATAAAGACATAGCACTTGCAAAAACAATTTTTTTAGATATCAGAATTTTTTTCACCAGTTTATTAATATGTTTGCAGATAACTATGATAAAATTAAGTATCTACACACAATTTTGATCAAATATTTAAAATAGGATAAGGCATTTCTGTTCAAATTAAAATGTTATGGATTTTTGTTTCCATTTTAAGTCATTCAAATTAATTTAAAATTATTACCATAGTTTTTTTACATCTGCAAACATATTAATA